GTCTCCGTGACAACGATCAATTGGTCAATGCTGTTTATTACGAGAATTATATACAGACAATTTTTCACCCTGTAGGTAGACTGCGGGTGATACATACGTGTATTACTCTCACCGTGCTTCAAGGGGTAAATGAGATGCATATCCTAGTTAATCAAGTTTGTCATTTGAAGATGGTTTGTTGCGCCGTGTAGTCTGGTAGAAGTTTACCGACGTTTCGGAGGTCTTTGCTGCCTCCATCATCAGGGCGATGAGTTTATTATTTGTTTGCACGACATGCCAACCCAACAAGCTTCGAATTGACGGCTTCACGCTAGACAGGATTCAAAGGTTGAACCCTCAAACACCAGAGTCCAACTTTTGAGGTATGATAACTTTGTCCATTTATAATATAATCTTCGGTTTGTTGACGTGACGTTTCGAAATCAAAATTTTGTGAACGTTTCTCATGTCCCGGTATGTGCCACGTTACCCTTCTGCATCTAACCTCCCCGTGAATCAGCAGACCAGCCCCTGATTAATCATCATAATTCATCCCCTCGTTACCCGGCTTCAGCGCTAAACGACCCATCAGCTGGTTCATTCCCTCGCCGAGGGGTGGCTGCAGGTGCAAACCTCACCTACGGATTGGCTCGAATCAGACTTCCGAAGGATCAGGCCTCGTTGCTCTACCATAAAAGAATTAGTAAGTCATAATAAATCCAATTAGAGAACAGCACAGGAATTAAATTTACAGTGTTTGGACGTCGATGTTTGTCTACGTTCATCCTATTCTCTGAGATCCCGTATAAGTAGGAGTTTTGCGACGAGCCGATCCCCCATCCATGGAATCCTACCATAATGACGTACAGAAACCCGTACACTGTTAACTGGAAGATGATGAGATGATAGGAAAGTGGACAGGCGACAACGGAAGAAGGAAAGAAGAAAGAGAAACGAGCGAAACAGGACGAGGAAGAGTTGATGGCGTGACGACACACAACGTCGAAAGCGTTCACGCGATGTCTGCCCGTACCAGGTCACGTGATATTTATATTGTATTAACGTGACACAAGAATCGTCTGTCAGCAGCTTCAGGGCGGAGGCATCAGCGGGGCAGAGTGACCTACAGGTGTCCCGGACTCAAAAAACCGAAATTTCGTACGAACTCTCTCAGGATACGGTCGAATGCCAAGCTTTTGTGAACGATGTAATGAAATTTCTGGGTGCACACGAGAAGGGAAAATTTTCAACTACCTGCGGGAATTTAGTGTTATAGAGGAAGTTCGAAGGGTAATTTCGTAAAAAAAAAAATAACAATATGGCCACCGCGTGGAATATTTTTTTAAAGTCTGTTAACGATTTAAAAATCATCGTGACTTTATGTACGTAATCTAGCATGGCGGTGCATTGAAAACGTGTCCAGAACTGTCTGAATGTGGAAATCTGTAATGTCTAATCCTTCGGAACCTACAAAGCACGACGCCAATGCTGTGCCAACACATAAACCGTATGTCTCATTCATGTTATGATGTGTACCCTCTTCAAAGTTCCGGTTACAGCGACTCCGGGCGGTACGGAAGGCCAAACCAGTAAAGCCACTTCAGAAGCATCGATTGGCGCGACGTATGCCCTTCTGGCACACACAGGCCTCGGTCCGGTGCACTGATCTTCAGTAGCGAGTCATCTGAAAACAAGACTGCACATGTTCCGGTTCCCATGGCAATAAAACAAATGCTAACTAGCGCGCGTATCACAAATCTCTGCCTTCTGCCTTGTATAATATGGTTAGTCATTTACGCTGTAGTAATTATGGACATTGATAGCAGTTTCCATAATACGGGCCTTTTCTCAGGCCATTTAAAGCCACAAGCTCACCATAACATATAAAAAATAACATTCGTTCCGTACCTGAAAGAAAACACAACACGTATCCATGACAACGATTAATTGGTTAATGCTAATTAGGGAAATAATCGCGTAGGCTGCATCATAGTCAGTGTAACAATCCATCAGGGCCCATACAAGCAGGGAATTTCTTGAACAGCTGAGCAACTAACAGTTTTACAAGGGAAACAACAGTTTCGAACTGCTGTTCAAAAATTAAATCAGAAGCAGATCCATCTCCGTATAATGGAACCTCCCATCCTCCCCCGTGGAACCTTTGAGTCAAGGTCACAGTATTTGCTAGGCCGCTGGTCACAAGAGTTGCGCAAAAGCTGTTTGCAGTTTCGAACATCGCTTCGCGTGCAGATATTTCACTGTTCTTCGTGAGAAATAATACCGAACGCATTTCTCGCCAACAATGACCCATAAACACGTTACAAAGTCATGTGAAACACAGTAAAAAATGTCTGCGATTAGGTTGTGGACATTCTCGGCGTTTGATGTAATCAAATCTCGTAAATATTTTTGTAATTCGTGTTGCGTTTTAAATTGAACGCCCTGTATTATGCTCGACGTTATTGGCTCTGAACATTGTTTGCGTTTACTACTAAGGGAGCAGGTAACTTTGGTGGGTTCTCTCAGCCTCCTGCTCTGTCGAGGACCCGCCGAGGGCCTACTTTCTGTAATTGCTGTCACTGCGCTGAGTGTCGAGCGGGCTGCCGAGTTCAACACTCGAGTGAACTGACAGCCGCTGAGTGGCAGGATTACACCACTCGAAACACTCCAGGGACACTTGTGTTGGTTATGACGTCGCCAGACAGGTGTATCAGATCAGCGCAGACCTCGACCTAGCGCGCGGCACCCTCTTGTCATAAAAGAGGCTGTGGTAACCGAGTCAGGGCGGTTCGACTGTCATCGGCTTCTTCTCCCTTTTATTTCCCTCTATCTCACTGAGGCTGTCCGAGGACAGGAGACCGGAGAAAAATGCATAACAAGAAACTTAATTATTTGTACTCTTAAAGATAATATAATTAAGGTCATGAAATTAAGAATGGT